AAATATATATATATATATATATTTGCTTTTTATATAAATTTTATTAAGTTGCCCGAAGAGAGTATTTAATAGTTTAATACACATGTTAAACGTATATTATCGATGTCTATTTACTAATGCAGAATTCTAAAAGTAATAGTATGTCAGATGTATTGAAACAGAGTTTATATTTATATACGAGATTTTCTATCGTTGACACATTGAGTGAAAAATCTGGAAATCGTGAAATAATTATTATTGATATGCTAGAAATGCACAAGAAATTTTAATATGCAGACTGTTGAAAAGTATTGCATTTTATTTCAGACGAAAAATATTCCGATCGTATTTACGGAACCATACGTTTGTCAAAAAGTTATGGATAAAATTGATAATTCTTTACAACAAATTTAGAGTGTATTTTGATATAATTACGTTTGCTATCCAATATATACTGCCATTATTAAACTCCCAGATACAATCGCTTATAGTATCTGGCTTATAGGTTCGTTGTTTTCTTAGTAAAGTGTATTAAAAACAAAGTCTTTCTAGATGATAAGTGCAGAATAACTTTAATAACAAAATAGCAAACAGTATATAAGATTTTATTCATTGTAACAAAATCGTACTATTGTCTTTTATTACTGAGTACCTGGCCATGGTTTTCCATGCGACAGCTATTTTTCCTTAGGAGAAATGCATTAAATTGAAACTAGAAAAATGGCTGACAAAATTTTATTGTTGTAACCTAAGGGAAAATTTTATTCTTTAAATAAAAGTGCCTTCGATACTAATTACCAATTCTTTATTTTTGCTTGAAATTATTCTATAGCCTTTAATATAAAAATTTATATGTTAAAAAGAATACCAACAATGAATATATTATACACGCATTTTATTATAAAATTCAATATTAATATTATACACACATACTCTCATGCCTCAATCACAATCAATTCAAAACAAAATACATAATTTTATCTTATAAATAAAGATACATTGGAGGGGAAAACAGGGGAAATAATTTTATTAAACCTTAATTATACCTATTTCATGTGAGCTTATGAACCCCTGAAAGATACAAACATTATATAAATATAATTATTTAAAAAAACATTAAAAATATGCAATCTAGTCTACTTACACAATGATATTATTAATTGGAATATGAATTAATTTGACAAAGAATCCAATAAAACCCATTATACTAAAACCAATGGCAGTTGCAATAGCAATTTTCTGAAATTCTAAAAATCATTAAACAATAAGTTAGAGTTGAAATTCAGTTGTAAATAAATTTTACTAAAAATTTACCCTTTCTGTCAGGTTTTGTGCATCGTTTTATGAGACGGATACTATCCTTTGCAAATTGACGTCCAGGTTCGGTAAGCTTCTTAACTTGATCCATCATGTTCAAGAAACTGGAAATAACGTTTAACGAAATTCACATTGACCAATCCACAGCTTTGCTCGATTTTTATAATTAGAACGGGTAAAAGAGATGTCAAATTTTATGCGGGCAGTGTGCAAAACTACATATGCTTTTTAAAGTTATAGCACAGCCAAAAAGTTATATTTTACTTTAATTAGATAGAATATATATACCCAATTCCGAGCTCAGAGATGTAATATGATTTATAGGTTATATCGAATGATAATGTGTTGTAAACTTTTTTCACTTTTCTTTGAAATGATTGGAAAAATATTCTTCAAAACATAGTACTCACGTTGTATACGATTCAAGAACACTTTACGAAGTGTTATTTGACGTCTGAAAAACTACGTCGTCACAACTTGAGGCGCTACGTGGACACTACGTTGTAGGAACGTCACTTCCTGGTCACTGACGTTGGAGTTAAAGACTCGCAGCGCGAACTCATATTTATTTAAACCTCACACAAACGAAAAATTTATGAATACATTATATTAGGTGTGAACAGCTTCAAATAATCTATAAATAATTTATAAATATAATACGCATAAATTTGTATAACAATTTTTTATGCGAAGGACAAAAATTTTAATGATACAGTTTAAAAGTTTTTGTAGATAGTTTTCTAGATTCCAAAGAATGAAAGATAAGTATTGATAGCATAGAGTAAGATTAATGAATAACATTAATCATCTACGAAAAAAGCACATGTATAAGAAGTTTATTTTTTTTTATGAGATTTTTGTTGAATAGCATTGTGTAACATAAAATACCTGCTAGGGAATGCAATAGTGGAAACTTTACAATGATCGAGTTCCTAAAATAGGAAATTTAATCTTTCCTCATTTTAATTTTGGTACGAAGTATATTTTGTTATGTATTGTGTTCAGCATAACATGACGATGAAATCATTGCAAAGTGTAGATAATTGTAAAAAACATTTTATAGACAATTATCCAAAACAATTGTTTAAAACAAAATGATTTCATATCACTATTTAATAACATCATATTAATGTTAAATATATTTGAATTATCTATCACAATACTTCCGCAATACACTGTATATCAGCCTTGAGATTTCTGTGTTTTATCAGTTACCTTTGACACTTGTGTTAACCTGTCAACTGTCAGGGTATTATATTTAGAGACTGTACTTTGACCAAAGAAACTAAGTATGAATTAGCAGATTTACGTTATAGTTATCGAATTATTTTATTCCAAAATATTTTAACTACAAAACCAAAAAATATGGGTAATAGATCTAGCCTTCTCTTGCGTGAAGAAGAAATCGCGCAAATTCAAGAAGCTACTGGATGTAAGTTTTATTACTTAATTGTGTTATTTCCATATGATAGGCCCATTCATCGTTAATTAAGAAAGTATTTAATCTTTAATTTTTGATCCAAATTGCAATAAACATTCATATCTTTTATTCACATGTAATATTTTTGAAAATATTTAATTTAATATTAATATATATTCAATTACAGTTACACCAAACCAAATTGAACGGTTATATAGTCGTTTCACAAGTCTTGATCGTGGGGATTGTGGAACACTTAGTAGAGAAGATTTTCTTAGAATCCCAGAATTGGCAATAAATCCTCTTGGTGATAGAATTGTAAATGCTTTTTTTGAAGAAAGTGGTAATGACAGGGTGAATTTCCTACAATTTATGCAAGTGCTGGCTCACTTCAGACCCATTAAAAAAAATAGCCCTAATAGATTAAACTCTAGGAAAGAGAAATTGAAATGTAAGTTGATAATAAATTAAAAATAAAATTTAATCCTTCAGAAAAAAGAAAAAAAGATTTTAGTATGTCATTAATTCATTATTACTTTCAGTTGCTTTCAAAATGTACGATTTGGATAATGATGATTCTATATCAAAAGATGAACTGTTAGCTATTTTGCACATGATGGTTGGTGCAAATATTAGGTAAAAGAACTATTTTAATTTATTAATTTTAACATAAAATCAGAATTACATCATTAAGTAATTCATATTATCTTTATTTATTTTAGTGAAGAACAATTAACGAGTATTGCAGAGAGGACTATTATGGAGGCTAATGAAAATGGTGATGGAATGATTTCATTTGAAGAGTTTTGTAAAGCACTAGAAAGGACAGATGTAGAACAAAAAATGTCTATACGGTTCCTTAGTTAATTTATTTAATTTCTTTTCCAAATAATGCACAATTTACTGATGTGTTGGACAATGTATGAAGATTTATTGTAATTAATGTTGAATGTATCAGTTAATGTTTTCCTATATGTCTGTGTTTATTTTACATTGGAAGAAAATTGAACAACGTTCAGTACCTAATGGTGAAAGGAAAGATAGCGAATTTCATCTCCTTTTAAAATTGTTATTAAAACAGCTGCAATTTTAATGAATAAAAAATGATACAATTATATATTTTTACGATTCATAGCGTATGAATTCCATAATTATTACAGAGTTTAGTAACCTACAGTTTGTAACATTTCATTCATTATTTGTTTCATTACACTGTTTACAATCTTCCAAAAAAAGATATGATCACATTTGTAATAAGCACTATTGAAAAATAAGTTATGTTATCGATGACACATTAAAAGTGTTGGAGTATATGGATATAAAATATGTAATACATTAATACTACGTACTTCATTTGTACATGAATTACATTTTGATTTCGGAAAAAATATTCAGGAATTATATTCAATTAATTGCATATTTTCATTGTAATGGAAATTCTTACTGTGTCTATTATATACCCTTCTTAACAAATTACAATTACCGGTACCTCATCACAATGATCAAAGCATTAAATTTTGCATATGCAAAATGATGAAGATATATTATCATGGTATTGCTATAATTTAGGCTGTCGATGATACGGACAATTTCTTTAAATGCACCATGAATACTTGTAGACTGACGTCGTCGGTTAAGACAGGTGATCCACTTTCCTAAATCGTGATAAAAATTAATTATAAATTACAGTCAATGTTGCTAAAATGAAGAAAAGCTAATAAATCTTATTCCCAAACCAATAGAATAAAAAGAATAAATAAATTGGAGTTAGTTATATTTCATAAAAGTATATTTTAAGAAAGAAGATGCCTTGATGCCAACCACCAGTGAATTGTGACAATACTTCTGCAAGAACTGTTAAAGTGTGTAGAATCTTATGCTTGTTTTATAATAATGTGAAATTGTGTTAAGTAATGTGAAAGAGATTAAGATGATCTAATATTGATGTTCCTGAGTACTTTTGGAGTAACAGCTAATATCTGTTAGATATTTTACCACTGTTAAGAAAATATTGTGATAAAAAGAAAATAAATATTTAATTGTATAGATAGGTGTCAACTGTATAAATATAAAAATTTTCCCCATCTAACTCCATTACCAAAGCAATGAAAGCAAATATAAAAGAATATAATTAAAAAATGAATGAAAAACACACCCCACTGGGTATCGGCATCCCCTGGTTGCAGGATCATGATGACATAAAAAGATTATTAGTTACGTACGATTGATTTATATTGAATGTTCATGTTGAAAATAAACAATAAATTTATTATATTTTGATATAAACAAATTTTAATGTTATAAATGAAATGCATTATTAAGAATAAAACCGAAAAATAAAGTGTGTACTTACCGCTCCATAAGCACACGTATTATTATGAGTTTGACTTGGGTTCACTTTGCTCAATAAAAACCTTGCTTGTGAACCACCCTGTTCAGTATCGATATATCTAGGCGCGGGGAACCTTTCAGCTAATATTTCAGCGGCATCATCAACAGGTGCTGCCAATAATTGTCGGAAATTCTCATATTCCGGCAAATCTTGATATTTTAATTGGCGCCATTGTGCAATGGTCTGTATTAAATTAACATATATTGCCGATCATACAATCATTCATAAGTAATAATAACAAACAAATACCTCTCCATGGAATATAAGGATTTGGAAAAAAGTATCCATCAATAAAATTCTGTCCGGCTGAATGGACGAAGTATCTAATAAAACTGGTTCTGGAGGGCCACTAAATCCGTAACTATACAAAATTGGCTGCACCATTATCAAGGAATTTGTTAAATCTTCTCGCATGAGAATGTGTCTGTAATATTTGATAATCGATTAGTAACGAAGTATTTCAATTAATTGAAATACACAAGCATAACAGCTGACCTATAGAAACTAGTTTCATCAGGGGAGTTATTGAATACTTGTAGAAATTGCGATCTACGCAAATGATACATAAACTGAGGATACAAAGAAAAATTTTCTGCGAGCCTAAAGCTATTTGGATCATCCTTTGTATATTCTCCGAATTTTTGACACTATAACAGAAATATTTAGTGTTAGTAGGATTATGTGTTCCATAGAAAATATTAAATACAAATTTAGTAAAAATACGAACTAATCTAATAAGCATACGATCAACCCATCTTAAAACATCTGGTCCGTCATCACTTTCTGCTCTAAATACCGCTAAACGTGACATGAGAACAGCAGCTGCCTCTTGGTCAAATCCGGCATTTATATGATGTGAAGATGCTGATGCGTCTGCCCAACTATAAAGAAATATGTCGTGATTTAGAATTCAGTAACATTTAATAGTTATATGTATATATTTTAACATACTTTCTAGCGATTGTAGTAACCCTAATTCTTCGTTGACCACTACTATGTTGATACTGTGTAATAAATTGAATACAACCTCTTCCACCTTGAGGAATTGGTGCGGTATGTTGATTAACAACTTCGAAAAATAGTGATGTAGTAGTGGATGGCGTAAGGGAACAAAATTTCCACTGACATGTGCCACCCAATCCTACTTCTTGTTCTCCGACACTCGATCCCTTCATTCCCAAAGACACACAGGGGCCAATCGCTCCAGAAACTTTAATTTCTCGTGAAGTTTTTACTTCCAATGTTGCATTAAATGCCATTTTCAAGTCGCCTTTATGATCTTTAGCGAATACACGTTGGAACGTTTGCTTGAATAAAGAAGAATTGAAGGAATCTCCCATGACCATATGACCACCAGTTGAGTTGCAACATTGTCTCATTTCTAATAGACCAGTTTGATCAAGAGCACATGAATAAATATCTATTATATGGCCGTTGGTTGCAGCCCGTGATGCGAGGGAATCATAGTGTTTAGTTGCTTTTTTCATATGTTTGGCATTATCTTTCTGAATATCATGGTGTGATCTGATGGGTTGTCTCAAGTCGTCCGTTACGACTTGACCGGGACCTTGAGAGCAAGGTCCACCAACAAACAGCATTATTCTAAAAATAGTATTATAATGTTCTTGAAACTATCAAATATAATATTTACAAGTGAAGTACAAACCTGGCTCCTGTATTAGCATAACTAGCTTCTAAGAGACCAGTAGCGACAGCCAGTGCGACACCTGTTGATCGTAATGGACGTTTTCCCGGACCAACCGGCCATGGATCACGTTGCAATTCTCCTAGAAGATCTGTTAAACTCATATCACACTTATGTACAGGCTGTAAAAAACGATTAGCTGGCGGAAGTGGTTGTCCACCAGGTCCTCTTTGCTGATTTAGATTTTGACCTGGTATTGGCCGACCTATACCTGTAATACATAATAATAAATATCTATGCTACATTTTTTTATTCTATTATATAAATTTGATAATGTACCTAGCATGTCTTGAACCTGTTTTGGTTGTAAATCTTTAGTACCACGAAAAACATAACTTTTACTGCATCCTTCACAGCCTAGTTCATGAACTTGGACCATTCTTCCAAATGTTATAAGACCAATTAGAGCATTTGGTGGAAGCAAAGAGAGTGACATTTGCAGAGAATCTTTAAGGGAACCTAGTTCTTCATCATCCATACATGTATCCACAACCAATAAGAAAATAGGTGGTAAACATTGTGCTCTCTATACAAAAATAATAATAATTAGTAAAGGATTAATATTTAAAGGATGAAGATATTTCATTTTAGATTATAAATACTATTTACCATTATGGTATATTCAATTGTTGAAAATTTTGGAATTAGTTCAGCTGGCTGCTGCTGCTCTGAAATAGCAGCATATTGTGGTGGAAACTGAAAATGTAAGATTTAAAATATTATTTTATTATGTGGGCAAAGCTAATTATGTTTAGTTTTTGATTATAATAATTTGATTCTTACAGAATTTCTCTGAAAACACAGATTGCACACCCATAATTTAGCACGGTAATCTACTTGACACAATGGATTTAAAATTGCTCTGCAAGTAGATCTTGTACAAAGGACAGGATCATACTGTATAGGTGGAAGGTCTGGTCTCTCTTTGATCGGTTGATAAAGTGTTCCTAATGGCACAACAAGTCTGGTGGCATCTATGCGAGATGAAGGCCAAACATTCCAAGTAATACGTACTCCATCACGGTCTTCATTTTGTTGAATGAAATCTTCATAGGTGGTCATGGTGCTATGATAAAAAAATATTATAAAAATTTATCGATATTTAATTTCTATTATACCCAATTTTTAAATATATAACCAGAGTGAAAGTATGATTGACAATTTTAGGTTAAACATACCTAATTACATCAACGTCTAATTATCACGTATTCCCGACTACGAGTTCAAAATAATTTTAAATAATCTCTACTATCAAGTTCTCATAATTACAGCATTATTTTACAATTAGATTAAAATGACACAATTACACCGCAACAGCACAACTCGTGCCGTCATTGAAGCCACGTCACTTGAAAGCTAGGAAGAGCTCCTATGGCGCATGCGTACATTGCGTTTTAATGCTACAGGCGGTATTCGAACGCAAATCTGTGAGTAAACAAAATTTGAAGTACTTAAAAATGTTTCACAGAAATCTTTAGGTAAGTGTCATATAAGATATTATATTATTTTGTTGTTTTGTTATCAAAATGAAAATTCTAAATTAAATGTAGTGAAAACGATAAATAGATATAATTGGTGCCTTTTTCATAATATTTCATAATCTTACGATATAATTATTTTTATATTATGAAACTATAAGATCTAAACTTAGCGAAAACGTGTATAGAAATTAAGAACAACTATGATTATAATATAGTTCATCCAATATATCATGTTGTTTATATTTATTTATAAGTAAAGATCAAAATCTGCCTTAAAAGGTAAATGCGCGAGGCTAGTTCACCCTGAAGCGTGTGTGACAGAAATTGTAAACATTTTTGTACAATTTATTATATGTATTTGGAAATTGGAAAACGGAGCTTGTGGTATCATCGCATAAGTAATCACGTTTTACGGTCAGGAAATGGTAGGGATTCATTCAACCAATCAGCCGCAAAGTGATAACGACCGATTCTGAATAGAGTAGAGCGGGTCGAGTGTTTACCGTCCGTATTTACTATTACTACGACTCATGCTTTAACGCAAATTTCTAAGCCTGAGTTTATACGAATCGAGACGTCAGTATTTAAGCGTACGCGTTACGGTACGATATCTGTTCAAGTCTCCATGTCACGTACACCGCGAGTGCTGATTTACGACTAACCTCTGACACGGTGTACATCGTCCGTAAAAATGGATAAAAGGTAAGACGTAATGTTTTACGTGCTTCGTTTGATTCATAATCCTCAATGTATTCAATTCTGACGAATGTTTAGCAAATTGGATACATCGAGGTCAGGGTATCGTGATGAAGTTTCTGGTCACTCCAAGAAGAACAAGAAACGATCCAGCAAGAAAAGCAGCGTGCTTAGTTCGTGGATGAATAGCATGCAAAATAATCAAAATAATGATGTGGTACCTGGAATGGAGTATCAGCACTTACTGTGGCAAAATAATGTGCAGCAGAATTTCCCAAACAATGGACAGCGTCTCTTTACAACAACATCTGATCCTAGTATGTGTGGCTACACACAGATGCCTATGACATATACCATGGAACCTGTTTCACTGCCAACCATGTATAGGCTGTATCAGCCAGTGCCATTCTCTGGCGTAAGAACTGTTCATGGTAGGCCCAGACGACATTGTAACCAGAATCTTCCAATGAATTTAAGTATGAATTCTATGGCAAATGGTTACTCGAGTTTGCAAGAGAATGGGGTGGAATCTCCTATGCCTGCTAATTATCAAAATGGAGATTACGCAAGTTTACCACCTACTGCTAACAAAAACAATGGAATAAATGGGGATGAGCTAAATTCGGAGCATCGAAGATACTCTGATCCTGGTCTTGGGTCTGCAGAGGCACCAGTTCATACTCAGAGCGAAGACTCTGATAGTATTGACAGTGGAAGTTCCATTACTACAGTTGGACGTAGTAACAAATTAGTTCTATCTCTTATTGAACAAGTGAGTAGCTTTTGTACTAATAAATATAACCTGTATACTTTGTAGAAATTATTAATGATCATGTGATGTTGCTTCCAGATGACAGAACTGAAGAAGAGTAATAGTCAATTATTCAAAGAGTTAAATGAAACAAAATCTGAGCTAGGTAGCATGAAAGTAAAGCTAGCACAGTGTAAATACAGCAGTTCTTCAGATTATCAACCAGGAATGTTATCAGGTAAATATTAACAAATGTTGTTACATCAGTTTATTACTACACTTCTGTATTTTTATGTTACTTTGATCCTACATTTTTACAGCTGATCTACATAGATAAACTGTGATTCTATACAATCATAAATGCTTTAATTGTTTCAGATTTCATTCGCGAAATCAGGCAAGCCAACAAAACGTGCGAGGAGGGATTGATTTCAAAAGTGAAGTCCATGGTGGAGGAAAAGCTAAACCAAAGGTCGTCAGAAATGGTCAATTTAAACGTATGTATTAAACTAATTTCATCTCTATTTTTACACAAGTTCCAAATTAAGTTCTCTGTTGACTAATCTGCATCAGAGAAAAATAAGAAACAAAAGGAAAAGAAAAATACCGCCCTAAACAACTCACGTTTATTGATATAGCACCATAACAAATGATTCACACTATTGTTCAAAATATTGATTCACAATTACTATTGTGGGCCATAAAAGATTCTCCCCGAGTGAACACTATGTGTCATCGTTACACCAATTTTCTCGATTATAAATCTAAACGTTGATTGGTTTACAAGGAAGTACGTTTAATGAAAAGCAGGCAAAGGAACTTGAAAAAGAAGAGAAGATAAGAGTTTAGCAGTTAGAAAACGTGGGAAGTGAAAACAAAGCGGATAGAGGAAGAAAGAAAGAGAGAAAAAGAATCCACTTTTTCTCATTCTCCCTCGACTTTGCAGTTAGGCTACAGTAATGTGCCGCTCCGACCGACGCTTTCGGCATTTCCACGACGTGGTCATGGACATATTGTTTGCGTAGCATTCGTACGTTCTGTTTGATTAGGACGGCCAGGTGATCTTCGCTTCCCTCTCTCGCCTTTCCCCCCTTTTTTCCTTTCTTACAATTTCCCTTCCTCGATTATCGTCTGCACGCGAATTTTCATCGATCACGATTCGCCTGTACACGTTTCCGGACTCCTCTCTCTTTGTACGATTATTTATGTACGTTTGCGTTGGAATTTTTATACACTGTTCTTCAAATAATAGCTCCCCTGGCTTCCGCAATATTTATATCGACTGCGTGGTCTGTTATTAGCAGGAAGTACTATTCAGAGCGTATTCATATTCATATCTAGCATAGTTAGCGATTCGGAGGAATAATCCGTGTTTAAATAGTTCTTTGTATCCGAGCAATTCTTCACAGGGACTTATTTAATATTCTGAATTCCGCCTAGGCTAGGCAAGGAGCCTATTTATTATTTCTGGGAGAGCACTCAATCTCTCTGCGTACAAGAATGAAAATCCTGTTCAATTAATTCCCTCCTATTTAGAAAAGCATCTCCACGAGAAATCTCCAAGGAACGACGCTCCGATTCTAATCATCGGCTCTTAGTCACCAAGGTATATCTACTCCAGATTCCATCTTTTCTCCTTTTACGTTACCAGTGGATATCCGTGTATCAAAAATTCACTCAACTTTATTTTCAATATCCTAGATCCAAAACGAACACTCTGAAAACCCGGAACTTGGACCACCTTCTGCTTTCATCGCACGAAAATCGACTTCATCCCCTAATTGGCCTAGCCGAAGAGTCGAAGGACAGCTCCGTGCTCACGATAAAAACCCCGGCTGATATCGGAGAACCTAATGTAGACGTAATACGAAATATCCGTGACGCTTGGTAAAAATGATTAGGTTTCACATGAGGGTGCCACCTACGGGGGTGGAGAGAAAGATAGAGGAAAGAACCGTTCTCCCCTCCTCCGTCCCTGTGGTATTCAGGCAGCAGAGGGACGAGGAAGGGTGAAGGATGAGGCACTTAGCGGCTGTCACGGCCTCTCCCTTGGCCTCCTTCCTCTCCCTCTTTCCTCTTCTGTCTTCTCGGGTTTCAACCATCCATTAGCCTCATCAGCCGAAGCGATGGCCGTCCGCGCCATGCTTGCCTCTCTCCGTCGCGTTGCCAATCTCCGTAATTGAACCTCCGGGACCTTCCACTTTCGAGCCATGTAAATTTCTGCCACGCTCGCCGCGTTTCCACGCGTTTTCACGCGGGCCAAGTGGCCGTCGCGGCGCCATGCCACTCGCGTTCTTTGCGCGATTTTGGCAAGACGAGAGAGAGCGAGACAGTGTCTTTCATTTGATGCGTCCATGAGGATTGGATCATTGGTGTATTGGCCAGGGTGTCAGTCTGCTCAGTGGCAAATAGGCTCTTAAAAATTAGACAATGCATTGAAAATGTCGATGATTTTATAGTAGGAAAATATAATAGAAATTCTGAAGATTGATTCATAATTAAAATACCGTATTAAATACACACAATATGTATACAATACATAGTTAAATCTAAATAATAGGAAATTATAGGAAAGAAAATTGTAAAAGAATTGTCAACTAGTGCAGAGACTTGAAATTAATAGATACGTGTTCACGGAACGAGTTATTTTCTGGAGAGTATTATCGCGGTAGTTGTAAAATGGCGATGAAGATCAAATAAGCGTTGTTAAAAATATTCTTCGTGCGTCTGCTGGTAACCAAACTCTCCGCAAAGTACGGCTAAAGAGTTCTAAGCCAGTAAAACGTTATCTCGTGAAAAATTGCAGGTTACTATGTAAATTGTTTGATTTCTTTCGAAACGAGCCGAGCCATCTTATCTGCGCCGGTTATTATTGTCTCCCTTATCTTTTATCTTTATCCTCGTTTTCTCTGGAGAAGACGTCGGGAAGCATTTCTTGCAAGCATTCCTTTTAATTATACCTTCGCGAGGCGTGAATGAAAATTTCTCTTTCCAGACAGTTTCTTCGATGAACGAAAATTACGAATGACAGGTCTGTCTGTTGTCTGCTTTCAGAATCAAATCACGAAATTAATGGAGGAGAAAGAAGAAAGCGACAGGCGAATAGCGAAGCTGGAGGAGGAGGTGGTCATGCTGAAGCTGAACGCAAAGTGAGTACCCATTTATAGTTTGGCATGATTGTCGCACATTCTTGTAAGAATCTTTGGCACTTCATTTCCTTCTCTGTCAAACGCAAATTTTGTAAATTGTTTTACACGTGGTTCTTCGTGTAGTACACGTTTTCCATCTGGCCATAATAGAAGTTACGTGATCTCGTAAATCGTTGATGTTTTGTAAATTAGTGTCGCTGTCGATAGATCACGTGGGACTTGTTAATTTTATAGACGACAATCGTAGAGTCTTATGGATAAAATAGTCATGTTAGACTCCTGTTTAGAGTCACGTTTCAATTTTAGACGAATATTTGCCAACGAATTGTAATATATCTTTCTCTTATGTACTACACACTTATTTTCCGAACAGGGAGAACAATTGTATAAATTGTTAATACTATTAATTAGAAATGTTGCAGTCTTTTCTTCTTTCTTCTCTTTCTTTCTTGCCCTCTGTTTCTCCCACTTTGATTTCCCGCTTTTTGTTACCGTTCTTTTCTGCACTTTGGCAGCACGAAACGAAATTATCTTTCTTTCGATTATATCAATTTTGTCAATCGTTAGGTATTTCGTTGATTAAAAATAGTATACTGTGCAATATTACACGTATTTTTATTTAAAACTTCATACTTTTTACGGTAATAGCGAGAATTTTTAATTTCAGTTCGAGTATCTGTAAAATTTCGGTACATTTTTCCTGGTTCAACGTAGACGAGATTCGTAACTCGATTTCTTACTTCGTGATTTTCTGTTTTCAATTTATTCAGGAAATCTCTGATTTTCGAATTAACCACTGGAATTTCTCACCGATAACCAGCATGCAATAATTCGCCTATAGCTCTAGAAGCTGAGTCCTTCGTGAAATATTACACATACATTTAACCACTGAAACCGATCAAACTAAAAACATCATTAAGAGCGCTAATTATGCCAACTCGTTGCAATTTTTCTAGTATCAGCATTCACTTAAACGCAATCACTATGTCTTTCCACCTTTCGTTTTATATTCGATAAAATAGTCGAAAAAGATTCTTCGTGTACTTTGAAATTTTTTGAAAATTTCCCAAATGATTCGATCGCTGCATAACTTGTCGCAACATTTTCCTTGATCTAATGCGAGTTGCATCTTATGTCTTCCTTCTCGGAGATTACCCTAAAATCGCTATTAAATTATTACTAATCTGTATCGTAGCAATTTCTTCCTAATTTAACGAACGCTTGCGAATTTTCACTTGACCCTTCCCTCAGAAGTCCTTTCCTAGCAACATCTAATACCAGGGAATTATTAGAATTAATAGAATTTATCAGAAATTTTCATGAGAATTTTCCTCGGTAACAAACTAAATCCAAAATTCAATACTCACAGAAATGTATCCAAGCACGAGACTTCCAGTCAGCTTCCTTTGTGCGTAAAGCTGTGCGGGATCCTGAAAATGTCGAGTCGGGAATTTTTTCCGGGAAATATCTCGGATATTTAAGGAAATTTTCGGGGATTTTCAGGAAATAGGGATTTTTGGGAGAATTTTTAGGAAATCAGGTTATTCACGGAAATTTTCAAGAAAGATCGGAATTTTCTCGGGAATTTTCAGAAAATCGTGATGTTCACGGGAATTTTCAGGAAATGGGGATTTTCTCGGGAATTTTCAACAAATAGGGATTTTCTGGGGAATTTTGAAGAAATCGGGATTTTCTCGGGAATTTTCCGGAAATAAGGATATTCACGGGAATTTTGAAGAAATCGGGATTTTCTCGGGAATTTTCAGGAAATAGGGATTTTCTCGGGAACATCGAAGAAGTCGGGACTTATTCGAAAACTTTCGTGAATCCGTGGTAACTTCGGGATCCCGCACACCCTACATGTTTCTTCACCGCCGTCCGTTCGCACCCCATTCTCGAGGCACCCACTCTGCACTCCGCACGCCATGGGACCGCATGCCAACACCCAACACCCACCCACAAACGCAGAACCACAAACACAGCCGTGTAATGGAGACGCGCGCGATCTCCGCGTGCTGACACTGTATATAAACTGGTGGAACTTGTGTGTTGATTGGCACGTAGCAACGAAGGCCGCGAGATCGCCGCGTTCGAGGAAGAGACGCTGGCGCTGCGACGGGAGCTGCAGGAGGCGCGGGCGTCCAAGTGCCTGGCCGAGAATCACGTGGCAAAGTGCGTAAACGCAAGATCAGTCACGCCTGTCGCTACTTTCGATACTACGCAACCCTACGTAACCAGCACCCCCGTGCGTACCGCTCTATCCGACACCTGTAGCCTCATCCCCGCACCACCGTCATCGACATCGTCATTGTCCTCGGTCCCCCAACACTTCACCTCGTTACTGCGTTCCCGAACCGCGGAGCTGGCTCACCATTTCGTCGCGGACAAGCCGGCCGCTTATCGAACCGCTGATTGTAGCAGTCCCACGCCAATGGATGCCTCCTGGACGTTGGACGACCAGATCCCGGTGTCCAGCAACGGCAACCGGTCGCCCGTAGTCGTCACCAACTACCTGGACCATCGAGACGTCAGTCTGGACGAGAACTGTAGCGCCACTGGCTCGGAGGTCTCACTGGGGAGCAAGATGGAGGGCTCCGATCTCCGCGAGGACTCTGTCTTCGATGACAAACTCTCCATCAGTCTCGAAGACAACTCAGCGAGCAAGCTGACCGAAGAGACTATCGGTGAGGAAGACGAGACCAAGGTAGAGTCTAACACGACGAAGACCGCAGAGACTGAGACCGGGACCATATCCTCGTGCGTGCCAGAGAAAAGAGTGAAAGGGACGCGGAAGGAAGAAGAGCTGACTCGTGGCCATCATCAGAGGGTCGGGTCGAAGAAGTCGCGCAAGAAGAAGAGCAGCTCGCTGTCAAAGAGGTCGTTCAGCGAGGCCGACAAGATCGCGCCGTCGACGACGTTGGAGAGGAAGGAGTCCGGGACGAGAGACGTCCGGAGAACGGTGAGCGAGGACGCAGATCGGAGTCGTCTCGATGGCGGCGACGACGACGCCGACGACGAAACGAGCCGAGCCATCACCGAGGTCCCGGAAGTGATCGTAGTCGGTGGTGGCTCCTTCGTGCCGAAAGATCTCTGCTCGACGGGAATCCTGACCTCCAGAGTCCTGACAGCACCTTCACGCGCTACCTACACCACCGCCTACATTTAGGCTACGTACGCGCGGGGCCCCTGCGATCCAAACGCGAACCAACGGTCGCCGTTGAGCAAAGGGGGCTTCAAGGGCTTGCTAGAGGCTACTACTATGTACATGTCGAATAGCACGTAGGTCTATCGTTGATCCACTCCTTCTTTTCTCTCTCTGTTACTGTCTTCACGTGTCTGTCTGTCTGTCTGTCTTCCTTTCCTCGTGGACACGCTTCGCGCGACTCGTCGGCCGAGCTTCCGCTTGGTTCACTGTGCTCACTTAGGGGCTCGCAATTTCGGATTAACTTCGTTATCGTTAAGGTCTTTTGACACTTTCACTGTCACGTTGGTCGTATATGACCGATCATAGTTTCTCCTGTGACGTCATGATGGTTATTGGTGACTGGATCGCTTGGACTGCTTACGATTGTGAAAATTGAACGAGAATTGACAGTTAGTTGACTGTCAATCGTTACCAAGGCGACATGCTGGTCACCCGTGATAAGATAAACGCTTCATTGGGTAAGAATGTTGTCTTATATCACAGATTTATGATTATTTTGCCATTATATGCTCCGAATAATAAAAATACTGTCATGACGTCCTGAGTGATACACGTGATTTCGACGTGACAGTCAAAGGGTATCATCGCGAGTTTCCTTCGTTCTCTTTTGAGGGTGGTCGGTGGTTAACGCATTCCGTGTCTAGCTATTTTATGTTAAGTCTTCGACGTGAAGTCTAACGTGTACCATCGGTGTACATATGGCATGTGACATGTTCAGGTAGCTTCCTTGGGATTTGTCACAAGTTCTTTCGTTTTACCATTATTTCGTCAGTTCATTTTTAATCTGTTTGCTTCACACGCGCGATGCCAACCCTCTGCACTCGCCTCGATTAAACGGACAGCCTTTCAACGAGAGGTTTCTTAAAATCATTAATTCTCTAGGTCCTTAAAAAGTCCCTAAAAGTCCCTAGGAGAAAATGATCGTAAATGTTTGCCAATTTATTTACGCGATAAGCTTGATTAATTTTTCGTCTTTAATACTTAGAATGAAATTGAATAATAATTGGCAGATGAGCCCATAACGACGACAGACGAGTGCAAAGGGTTAAATTTGATTTTTAAGGATTTTAGAATGTTATGGATTTTTTAAGAAATATTTTTTATTATGCGAATATTATCTCAGCGATTTCTTTATTAGCTGTTTACGTTCACGCGAGAGATATTATTAGACTGTATAGCATTTCTTACGATATAGAAGAGTGATACTAGCAATTAGAAGCGAATTTTCGACAAAAGTCGAACTGCATACGAAGTTAGTGCGAACCAAGCTTAAGATCGTTCGAAAGTGACTATATTTTTCCCCCGATGGCTTCTGTTCAAGTACGAGAAGAGTTTGTATCATTGTCCATTGAGAGAAATCTCTGTTAATCTTTTCACTCCTGAGTTACGAAGAGAGTAGCGAACGCCCTGTCCCGAATTAATTTGACAAATTTTATTTTTGTTTCAATCTGATAAAAACTTAATCAACATATAATATCGTGCATTATAAGCCTACCCGAGGAGATAAAGATGAATACAGAAGTTCAGAAGTCACTAAATATTTTATTCGTTTACACTAAGAAAATACCCCAAGCAAATTTCTTTGTTTATTATTATATATTATAAATTTAATATTTTACGTATTGTTCTAGGCAGCAAATATTTAGAAAATTATGGCTGTCCAAACTGAGATTTATGAAGTGCACGCAGACGTGAAATGCATAATCTCGCGATATTTTTGACAGGGGGTTGAATAATGCAGGGATTGTATTGAAAAAAATTTTTCTCTTATCTTAAAAGACGACAGGACACGTCAGAACAGATGGATTGCGTTCAGAAAGAATTTCCTAACCTCTAACAGCTTTGAGATCCATGGACGTCGTATCACGTGCGCAGTCCGGCAGCCATGTTGCAGCGTGACGTCACACGACGTCCGCAGGAGTGAAAGGGTTAAAGGATCTCTGTAAAATTATTCGTTTATATTTTCTCCACTCTTCTTGTACTTACATTGTACAGTTTCGATGTCCTCGAAGAGTGAAAATGAAAGAAACGGGTAGGTTCGATATTTAAAGTGCATGTTTGACAAGTGTGTTAGTATTTTTGATTTCTGCAACCTACAGGATCTTTCAGTTTCACCTTATAGCTGTAATTAATTATTATACGCCGTGTGTACATTTAAATAGTGTAAATTACGTCCACGTTGGCATGGCTTTGCAGCTTCTGTAGCATGCGTTCAGTTTCCAAATTCTTTATCTTTATTTTTATATCGAGTGTACATTGTTTTACGAGCCTGTATCATATTTTTAATCGAATCTCGTGGCTCGAGCCCTGGAACTTTTCAACTGGTCCAATTTTCCGCCAGTTAGACGAATTCGCTTATTTTTCATATCGATTTTCTACGATATTTTGCAGAACACAGCGATCTCTTTAAATATTTTAATTTTTTAGTTAATTTATATTCCTCAGTCTCTCTTCACTGACTGGGTTTAAGAATTTTTCACGGTGTCCGATTAGAAACACGAAATATTCCTTTGCAACTGTCTTCTGCAATTTTTAATATCATCTCGAAAGACACTTTCAAAGAAATATCCACTTTCTTTATTTATTTTTATTAATCATTAATTAATCGATTAATCAATTTACCTTTCGATTTATTTTTCGCTAAGATACTTTAACACTAAACGTATCGGTATTTTACACACACCTGTTCTTACCATAGGGGGTCAAATGACTCTTCGTGGTATACAAGGCATGCAAAGAATTTTTCTCTGTAGAAAATATGTTAAGAGAAGGACGGAAAGCGAGAAATTAAGCAATCAGATAATACGAGAATTTACAGAAAGTCAGATGAGCGGAAGAAATAACGAATGTACGATTTATAAAGTAAATTTCGAAAGGGGTCATTTGACTCCGTTTAGTACGTTTAGTGTTAAGCAATCCCAAGAATTTTTCATCGTGCTCGATAAGGGAGCCGAAAATTTTTGATGTCACTGTAGAAAATATCATTTTTCAAAAATACGCTCTCTTTAGTGCTAAGTTCGAGATCACGAGATAGTGCTATCGTAATACTCTCTGCACCCCGATGCACAGTGCCGGTTAAAGAGTTCCGGGGATTCCTCGACCGCGTTGACCACGTGACACATTTCCAGGCGCCATTGTTTTCGACGTGATCCCGCATCCCCGTCCAGAAAGTAAAAAGCAGAAACGGAAGTGAGAAGAAATGAAGGAGAAAGAGGAATAACGGTGCTCGTGGATGGTCAAAGAGACGAAAGGAATCGAAAGAATGAACGAATCATTATCGATTATGCTCCCCGTTTGTATCGCGGCGTTTCGCTCAAACGCTATAAAAGTCTCGGTGTGTACAGTTTAAACAGGCAAAGTCAATTTTTATCTTTCGATCCGTTCGTTCGCTGGAAATAACGACCACCACAGACACACGTTCCTCCATTTTCCCTCTCTCTATATATACATATAAATATATATAATATGTATATACATTTTATATATATATATATCTTGTTCATTCCCTCTCCGTTTCTCTGCGTCGAGTTTGTACGCGGCAATTTAATAAATGATCAAATATTATATTAATTTAATGTTTTCAAGCCGGCGCTCGCGTTGCGTCTGTTTGCGCGCGCGCGCAAAATTGATATTTTCTTTCTTCTACAATTTCCACGGCAAACAGCCGCCGTAGAATCCCCGTCAACAACGGCAAACAACAAATTAATTCGTTGTTTAAACAGTCGCAGAGGCCGGCTGTTTGTCGCTGGCAAACGCGTTTAACGCCACTGACAAGAAACGATCCGGCTAAATTCGAAAGGGACTTCTTAATAACGTTAAAAATTCCGATCCATTGTAATTTCCTAGTCTCCTAACTGGGCTACTGAGAACGATTCCGGTAGTCGTTGGGTACGCGATACTGGAATAAATGGGGGTTGAAGAATCAACCCTCGCTCTCGCATCGCGGTTCGTCGAGAATCGGGGAGGAATTTGGTATAACCTATTAATAGAGGGTCCCATCTGGGTCCCAGAAATTTCGAAATGTTCGATAAATATGTTAGTATTTGTTACTAGAAATTGCCTAGCACGGCAAGAGAGTGTTATCGAATTTTGTTCTTCTTGTAAATTAAATTAAGAATTGCTACAGTGTAATTTACGTAGTTAAAGTAAGAATTCTAACACCCAACGCTACTTTTAACTCTGCCAGGGTTGATTCCACGAGCCATACCTATTCGTCGAGTATCCCCGTCACTTAATCTAACCCGAAAGATCCTGATATCTCTCTAGAAATAGCCCTATGTATATATACCTTCCACGTGAAGCGTTTTCCGCACCCTATGCAACCCTTAGACCCCCATAGACCACCCCGCAAGACGCCACTGGACGAGGGTGAACCGCGAGTGACTGGCTTTGGTCGTGTGTATTCTTTTTCTGTTCTTCTAGCTGGCAGCATGGCTTTCAGCTGACCTCACAGTTGCTTTTGGCGCTTCTAAAGACAGCATTACAGAGATTTCTTTGGGCCGAGTAGCGGATGATAGGCATATGAACGCATGTAACGTGACTTGACTCGTCATTTGTCAGACTGGAGAAGCTGCTGGACATTCTGCATAATAAGATGATCGATGCCACCGACCAGAAGACCGCTCTGAACTTGGTCAACGCGAAACGCGCGAGGAACACCTCCTCTTCGTCCGAGGACGAGGAAGATGACGAAGAGGAAGAGGGCCAGAAGGGGAAGGAAAGGCAACGAGAGAGCACGAAGGACGACGGTAACGTGGACAACGACGGAGGGAGCACGGCCTACAGGGAGAAGGTTCCCGAATGGTTGTCCATGATCGAGAGTGGTATTAAGCTCTCCGGACCTGTTACCGATCTTTAGAGTAGATTTTTCCGAGTATTGGAAATTTTTATTTAGGGTTTAGACACCAAGATCTGACGAGTTCGAGTGCTTTGGAATGGTTTAACTAGGTTTCACAAGGTTTCCAGATGTTGGCAGCAGTTGACAATTGAAAGGAATCATGGAGCATCGAGACTGACTGATGATCTCTGTAATAGCATTCTTGGAAATTTCGAGTCAGGGTTTAGGTAAAGAAACGGGGAAGTTTGTCACGTTCGAATGGTTTCAGAAGGTTTGAACGTGTTTGCTATGAGCCATAATTTAGATAAACTATAGCGAAGTATCTGGAGTATATGAAAGATTTTTGGAAATTTTAAATCAGAGCTGGAAGCAATTTGAGATCGTTTGAAAAGGTTTGAAGAGGTTTGTCATAGTTGGAAAGTGAAGAATGATGTGTTTCAAAGCAGGATTTTTGAATCGTCTATAGAAATGACTGTGGTATAAATGGTGGTAGAACGGAATGGTAGTGGATTGTTTGGACTCATTGGTCAATCGTAGGGTTTGTATTTGAATTATTTAAAATTTCAAAATATCGTATCGAACTCCCTGTAGTTAGATCTTAAGTTAAGCACCGAGATGTCGGAAATGTTTGCTAGAATTGAAAATGGTCTACGAAAGACGGTATTAGAATTTTTCCAATTCGAATCGAGTGTTTGCGAATGTTTTGACACTAAGATGGCAACGTTGGTATCGAAATTGTCGACTTCATGACATTAGATTAACTTTTTCAAAAGCTGTCAAGTTTTTCGTGAGGAAAAGAAAGAGCTGAATTATCCAATGATCGATAACGATGATCGAGAACAGCGTCAAACTCCATAGGACATGTCTGCTGGAAAAAGATTCGAGTGAAGTTAAACGAGAGATCTCGGAATAGGTTTGAAGTTGTTTGAGGCTCAAAGAAAAAGACGTTTATCTATATTATCTATAATTTAAAAAAATTTTCTCCATCGATTTTGAGCTCGGAGAATCTTAAGAAAATTTTGTCTCGATAATAAAAAGCAAGATTTCTTTGGATATCGTCGAGTGGGTTTTGGTATGGTTTTGGATACCTCGATTGTTGGAATATGGATCGCAGCGAAATGGAGAATACCTAAATTTCTATAGTATATTTATCGTACGAACTGTGGAAATTTAAGTATTCTTCGAACAGGGTTAAGCAATGATACTTAAGGATTAATGACTTTCTGTTAAGGACTAGATAACGTTGTACATACAATTAGCGTTGGAAATTCGCGTTAGAAACCCCTGTTTGCTTCAAGCCTCGAATAACAGTAATTTTATTTTAAAGCCGATATTATGGAATTTTTGTGTCACGAATTTTATTGGAAATCGGTATTAAATAAGTATAATCACCTGATTAATTATTCGAGGGTTGGTAACAAGGGTTGGTGACACCGATTCGCAACCTTACCTGTGATCGTTCATTCGTCCCAATTTTTTGAAAACACGCTTCCTTAAGATTCTTATTACGCCGTCATACGTGCCTGTCCAATTTGCAGGATTTGTTAAATTAATTTTTATTGACAAGTGTGTCTTTTCACCCCTCGTGGTTCTTAACGGAGATAATAAAGCTCCTAAAACATTAGATGCAAATTACAATTCGAGTATTTCGTAGTTTCGATTTATCACGATAAAACTATGTATATTTTAATTAATTTATTAAGAGGAAAATTAAGAGGTTATCGTGGAAAATTAAAAAATTCCAACTTATAAATTTTTCTGGTGCAGCTTTGATTTATCGAAACAAAATTCTCGATTTTTTAATTAATTATTAAAAGGAAAATTCAGTCGAATTCGAGGAATATTTAAAAAATTCCACTTCAAATTTCTTAATTAATTATTAGAAAAATTTCGTCGAATTGGAGGAAAATTTAAAAATTCCAATTCAAATTTCTTTATTAATTATTAGGGAAATTTAAAAATTCCGTTTCAAATTTTTTAATTAATTATTAGAAAAATTTCGTCGAATTGGAGGAAAATTTAAAAACTCCACTTCAAATTTCTTAATTAATTATTAGGAAAATTTTAAAATTCTATTTCAAATTTCTTAATTAATTATTAGAAAAATTTCGTCGAATTGGAGGAAAATTTAAAAAGTCCACTTCAAATTTCTTAATTAATTATTAGGAAAATTTCGTCGAATTGGAGGAAAATTCCATAAACTAAGAACCATGAGGGTTGAAAAAGCCGCACGATTGTCGGTTGAATTGTATTTCTCGCTGATTAACGTTCGCAATGGAGAAAGCTGGTCGATAAGTTCGCGTGTTCCGCTCGCTGATCGAAGATTAGCGACGCTAGTGCCTGGCCTAAGAACAAAGTTGACGTAATTGGGTTAACACGTCGATCTTCTTTTCGTTTCGAGCGAGTCAACAATGCACAGGGTATTCGTCGTTTTAATTTTCCCGCGCGAGAGTTCCTCGATGATTCAAGATGGCGGCTGGAGGCGTAACACAATCCTATTAAATTGCTGTGCGTGTGAGAAGTATAGAATCGAAGACGAATCTTTAATCTCTTGTATTTTCGGTACTCGTGCCATTATTTGGTAGAGTTCGATGAATTTGTTGGGAAAATTTGTTGGTATCAAGTATTATTCGAGGTTATGTTAATATTTTTCCACGCTGTTATTCGTTGAAGCTGGTCTTTGTTTCTTCGTCGTCGATGTTTCGCAGAAATTGTCTGTATTGCAGAATTCCAAGGGAATGCAATGCTTTTCGTTTCATTTTTACGATACATAATGTGCATGGACATTATTAAAAATCATGTTACCGTTTCGTTTCTTCTCTGTATAGGTTCTTCGCAATCTTCGGGAAAGCCCCGTTTAAAAATTGGTAGTTCTTAATAGCGGAAAGATATATTTTTTTATGAACAAATGCAGCATTGTACATAGTAACACGATGCTTAATCTCTTTGCTGTAAATTCAATTATACGTGCCTTACTATTTTGTTCCTTTTTCTTTCTTCCTTTCGAAGTGAAAAGTTTGAAATTTTAATTGCTTATATTCGATTTCTACGTTGTAATTTTCGGTTGAAACAGCAAAGGGATTAATCTACTATTTTTGCGATTGAATTTCTATGTATTTAGAAATTAGCGATCTTCGTATAAACGGGAAGTAATAATCGTAGATTAATTCATTAGGAATATATAACAAATTTTCTATAGCGACTCTGTCCCATATTATCAGTCTATGGTTAAACAATATATATATATATAGCACACATACACACATCTTATGCACGTAAAATAATTTAAGGTCGAGGTACAAGTTTTTCTTAGGGCCGAAATTCCTCGCGGAGGCAGTATTTTCATAAACGAAGTGATATTACTTTCGTTCCCGAGCGTTCGTGAAACTTATTTTCTATTTTTCGATACCCTATACATGCTAATAAAACGACCAGTTGTTTGCGACGAGCAGCACGCGGCATCGAGTAACTTCGGTGCTCAGAATAATTAGAAGATCGTCTAATTCGTTCAAAATTTTACCACGAATCTATTCTCGGTAAAAAATGGGATCGAAATGTCCCGTACCATTTTCCAATCCAACTTCTCGTTTTCGAGATACGAGCAATCGAAGTTGAGCGCGAGAGCGCACCTCGGCGCCATGCTGAAGCCAGCACCCACGAAACATTAATCGTCGATATCTCGAGAACGAAGGGTCAGATTGAAAAATAGTAAATAACTTTTTGTCACCTTTTTTTATAAAGATTTCACGTGCTACAGCTCGTTTCACAATTTTCTATATAAATAAGAAATTCGATAGAAAATATCTGAGTTATTTATTCCTCGTGGTTAGACCATTTTAATTAAATGCCAAGATAAGTGATTTTCTGATTGTTTCGAGCAATTTCATCTAGATAGATATTTTAGGTCGTTCAGGAGATGACGCAGGATTTAATTGGCTACAGTGTATTAGATCAATCTTCACAGGTACAGAAGCAATTCGACGTACACGTATTTCCTTGATTGGCAGAAATAAATAACAACAAAAAGAAAAAAAAAAAGGAAAATGGTCGCACATCGAACTGCAGACATTGTCTTAGACAAGGATTCATAGTAGCTTGTCACATGATCTTATTAATCTTCACCAGTACTGTTTGCACACAAAGTACCTCAGAAATCGGTACTTTTTACTCCTATATTTAACTTTTCTATTGCAACATCTGTTATATATTAAAAATAAAAAATTTGCTCACTAGATATTCACTAGATCTAGAATTTTTCTTCAAAACTATACCGTGATCAGTTCAATGTTCCGTAAGTAAATCATTTATTCGTGTCACTAAATTATCATAACCATGAGAAAATAGACAATTAATATTCATTAATAAAAAGAAAAAATTGCATGCACCTGTAATCGGACTAAAACGTGAAAATAACTAGGTTACTAGGATCCTCGTGTTCCTAGTAGATAGTAGAAGCCTATCAGCGTGAAATCGAGAAAGGATGGTGCCATTTTCTCGTTGGTCCCATCTCGTGTACCATCTCCTGATCAACCTACGGCATATGCAACGCAATATTGTAAATAAGCCGTGTCATTCGTCATTATATCTAGTAACTTCTCGAGTGTTCGGATGGAATACAGTTCTTCGCATCCGAGACATCGAATCACTGGAATTGCAATAATATCAGCGTGTTCTATTTTCGTAAGAGACTTCACGAGCTCGATGAAAACTCACGAACACCGCGTAGTTCTTAAGATTCATCAGGATTCAGCGAGAAAATTTGTACGATTGGTGAAATC